AAAAGGGCAGTGGGGATGAGACCCTAATGGTTTCAAGCTGGTCCTACTAGGTTTAAGCCAGCAAGCAGCAGGGGATGATTGTTCCAATGTCAGCAGGGCTGTACAACTGCTCTGGATTTACTGTTTTAGTGGTAATAGAGCTATCCATGGTGCTGAATCCTATCCTCAAAATAGGTTTCAGCACCACATAGTGGCTTTAAAGTCCAGACCAAAATCTGGAGTGGATACACTGTCCACTGATGTTGGAGCTAGCAGCCCCCATTGCCTTAACAGAGCAGTTCTTAGAAGACCCAGAACTGGAGCTGGTGCTCTAGATCAAAGATTTCATGTTTTTAAAATATGCACACACACAGTTGCATAATTCTATAATATTTTAAAGGATCTTTAATTTTTAAACTACAGATTTTTAAGAGTGGTGTAAAACATTCAAAATCTATATAAACATCCATAAACTGGGGGTGCCACTGAGTTTGCTTCTTTGCCTTGCCCGCATATTGGTTACTTCTGTCAATGCCAACCGAAATGCATTCTCCTGAATGGCAGTCGCAGCACTCTGCCAAGACCCTTTTCACTTGCACTAGTGCCAAGCTGGGCATCGCCTGCTCCCTGCATTCTGTGACTTTCTGCCCAGTCTTCTATTTGGTTTCCGTCATCTCAGGTATGAGCTTTCAGAGCCAATGTCTGAAAATATGATGAGCATTCCCCTCACCACCACCTTTTCCTTTGGGGTTTTCCTGCCAGATGATCCTATTTATCAGTTATCTGAGTTTCTTAAAATCATCTTTCCTGAAGTCCAAGGGTGTTTGTGATGACATTCTGATGCTGTTTCTTGTGCTTTCTGGGCTGTTTCAAAAGTGCCCATGAAAAGAGCATCACTTTGCATTTCTTGCCACTGTCTCCCAACCCGGTCTTCATATCCAGAGCCATCGGCTGCAGCAGCAATTTTGCAAGCTCCAGATATCTGAGTACTCTTGGTATAATTTCAGCAAGAAAGATAAAAGAAAGACTACAGATTTGACTGAGTAGTTCAATAGCTGGGTTTTTAGATGAGAAACGTTTTCAGAAGGGAAAGAAGCACAGATGAATATGAGTGTGGGAAGAAGGAAGTCATCTGAATGCACAGCCCTAGCAGGATCTAAGGGTCTAGTCTAAGGGTTTGTGGACAGAGTCCTCTGTGACCCTGGCCCAGAACAATAACATCTACACCTGTAAAAAGGGAAACATAAGATTCCTTGCTGGTTTTCTAAAATTCTCATAATAAAATTGTTCATAAAACATTAGGGGGGAGGCATACCAAATTTAGGGAGGCAGACCCCCTAATTCTGACTATAGATCCACCAGGAAGGGAAAGAAAAGGAGAACAAAGTAAAACATTTTTTAAAGTAAGATTGTTTGGAAGGAAATAAAGCTGATTAATACAAGAACGGAATGAAGTCAGTGTGAGATTTGAGCCAGAAATCTTCAACCTGGGAAAATAAGGAAGGTTGAGGAAGAGCAGGATGATGGACATGAAAGGAAGAGAATTGCTGTGCCTAAAAAAGCTTTCCCCGACCTGGAGTCCCCAGATGTGTTGGACTACAACTCCTAACAGCCTCAATTGCCATGGATGTTGGGAATTGGAGTCTACAGTAACTGCAGACACCAGGCTGAGGAAGGCTTATTGAAAGAATGAGCGAATGCGGGGCAACACAAATAACAAAACAACAACAAAACATCATGAACTGAGCAGCAGACTATAAGAAATAAGTGAAGAAAAATCAAGAAGAAGAAAAGCCGAGAACTGGCTTTGGCTGAAAGAACTAAAATTTCAAAAGAAAAAAATGATATCCCTCAGGGAGAAGGAAGGAAATGCAGGAGAGTCAAACAAATAGGATGGTGAACTTAAAGAGGACAGAACAATGCCATGTGCAGAAATGAAGAAAAAGAGCCTAGCAGAACAAGTGGTATTGCGGGGAGCGTGAGAGCAAATGACTCTCGCATCTGGACTCACAGTCTGGGGATAATCCTTGGGACCTATTGAAATCTCTTAGCAAAAGGCAAGAAGGGAGGAGGACGCGAAGTGGGGAGGAAGGATGAGGCAGGAGGGCCTCAGATTAATTCTGTACATGAAAGGGAAGGGCTGCAGTTGCAGGAACCTCCAAACTAAAGAAACCTAGGGAAGAAGCTGAATACCGTGCCCAGCACTTCTCCCTGCTGGCTGGGGGGATGAGGAGGAAGGCCATGAACTGCCAGGACAGGCCCCGGGGACAGCCCTTCATGACTGGAGCCACTCAGTGTGTGACAGCAAGAAACAGAGGTCAAGCGGCACCAGAGCAGGACAAAAGATGGAGTGGCAGACGGACACTGCAAGCAGGACACGCCATCCTGGGGGCTGTGCTGAGGGCCACACGGAGCCCCCTCTCCTTCCATTCTGGGCAGAAGGACTGGAACTGGTCTGGCCCAATGATGCCGCCACCTCCCACTTGGACTGGAATGGACCCTCCATCACTCCCAGGCAGCACGGCTGGGAAGTGTAGGCCAGGCAGCTGACTGGCTCCTCACCAAACAGCGGGGCAGTCCAATCCGCACACCATGGAGTCCCCGCTGCTCCGCCCTCTCTGAGAGCTTCATGAGATCTTCAGGTTTGCTTTCTTTCGAGGGCCCTGCAAAATCAGAGCGGAGAAGTGGGACCCATCCATCCGCCTTCGCCCTTAGACCTCTTCCTTGCTTGGCCTGGCATTCGGAGCATTGCAGGATTGATCACCGTGGCCCAATGCCTCCTCCCCTACCGCTCACAAAAGAGCTTATCACCCTCTTGCAGGCAAAGTATGAAATGTCAAGTTATGATATGGCAGAATGGAAGCTAATCTTTCTTCTGAAGATAAGATTTTTTCCCTTTAAATGGAGTCACTCTGCCTTTCACAGGCAGATGAGTTAGAGCACCTGCGACGCAAGGCTCTGACCAGCGCAGACTCTTCCCCCTGCCAGGCGCTGTGCTGCGTGTGCACCCGGCCCCTCCCACGCGGGGCACCTGGCTGCTTTGTTGGCATCTAATTGAGTGTTGCCTTTCTCATATTGTCTCCTTCAAAGCCGCCTTGGATTGCCCATTTGTATACAAGGCTAAGAAGAATTAATGGGCTGTGTATCTCCACCAAGCTGCAGCAACCCAGCATTTTTACTGCTGTCAAGACACAGGGCAGGTAATAGGCTTTTGCAGCGTGTGCTGGGAATCTTCCCCAAATCCTCCAAGGAGCTGAGAATCCTTGCTAAGCAGTGGCAAAGCTGATACTTTCCTCAGCCCTACGGGTGCTCATCAGTGTGACCAGAAGAGGCCTGGAAAGCCCAGCTCTGCAAGATCCTAAGCTGTTTTTCCCTGGGAGGCTCTGACCAGAGACAGCCAGTGAGATGGGTGGTCCAGGTTCTGTTCCAAAGTGGGGAGTCACACTGCAGAAAAGAGTGGTCAGCTGACCCTGATCCTCTAGAGATCAGCCAGCAGAAAGGGGAAAAACAACACCTGCTGGGATCCTGGCTGGAACTCAGCCTATTTACAGTGTGTGCAACTTTTGCACTTGTTCAGCCCATGAATGCCTCCCATCCTGCTTCTGCTTCACTCTGTACAGTCTTCTTTTTTAACCTGCATGGAAACTTGCACTCAAATGCATTTTTCAAATATGTGTTCTTCCAGGTTGTTGCATGTCTAGGATTGCAGTCCTATGCATATTAAGACAGCAGAGAGACTTGCAGTGCCATCTCCCAGTAAACATGGCCAGCCAAGGGATGGTGGGAGCTATAGGGGGTTTTCTGTCTTACATGCACACGTAAATGGGATATTTTTGAGCTTGGACCTGCTCCAGAAGAGTTGGGAATCACAAAAGCTACTAGCTAATCACATACTGATTCACAGATTCCTCTGGGAGGTCTGGATTAGATAACAAAATTTGTTTCCAAATGTGCAAGAACTGAATTTGCCAGGCACTCACCGTTGAACTAGATGGGACGTCCAGTGAGGATGCCAGTGGCCTTCCTACCTCAGAGAAGGACACTGTAGCTCTAGCTATGGACAGGCAAATCTGCCCATGTTGGTTTCCCTCAGTTTTGCATTTCTCCAGTTTTAAGTTCAGTTCATCACAAACTTTTAGAATTTAGAAACACAGAAACAGAGTGAGTCAGAAGGGGCCTCCAGGGCCATCTAGCTTGACCCCCAGCTCCAGCCGGCTCTGCTCACGACATGCCCACCATGTGCATGTCCAGCCTATCCTTGAACGCCCTCACTGATGGGGCCTCAACGACCTCCTGTGGAAAACCCATTCCATACCATCAGGAAGTACTTCCTGGCATCCATTCTTTTCTCCATTTGCAAGTTTTGTCCCTCTATATTTTGAGAGGTTTTTAAAGTTTGCATGGAAGTTCAAAAGTATTTTTTGTTGCGCATTCTCCTACTGCATGCATGTTTTATGCATTTAAGCCCAAGACACACAGTTTTTGCAAGCGGTTTTCCTAATATAATCTAAATGGAAACATTGTTTTCTCTAATATACTTTTTCACACATATTTTAATACTACATTTGAAAAAGGGCATATTCTGAAGGAAAGGCTCACATATTGGCATGAAAGTGCAAAATTAGGTATGCTTGCATAAAACCGTGAAGAGAATGACTTACTCCCACATCCCCGAGGATAGTCTCTCCCCATCCACCTATGACTTGGGGATTGTCCTGGGACAAGAGCTCGCCCCCTCCGTGCATGATGCCCCCACACGAATTATACCCATTATATGGGCTAGGTCAGTCCTCCCAGCCTCCAGGCAGTGGGCGATGCCTTCCTTGCAATGCAGTCTGCTGTTGCAGGGTCCTCCCAGCTGGGAGGGAGTATTTTGGCAGCTATTCCCAGCCACAGCCATAAGTGCTCCACCGGCTGGGTTGGGTCATGAAGCTTCCAGCTACCGCTTGAGCCTCTGCTGAATGCAACCTTCTTTCCAGGATGCTCCTCTGGAAAGCAGACGGAATCGGTGGATCTCTTACCTATGTTAGCCAGGCTCAAGTGAAGCCAGCCCCTCACAGTTGCATGGACTCCAATGGGCTGCAGGCACCCATGGCGGAACGCCTCCCCACTCATGGCGGCTGCATCCTGCTTGTACTCCGTGGTGATGACCTCCAGTTCATGGTGGACTTGGACAGCTGTCCGGCCCTGGCGAAGCAAGTGCTGTGGAAGGGAGGAAAGCTCTATCTGAGCACTGCGGATAATCAGGGAAGGCGTAGGCGTGGTGCAGCAATGTGTCGGCCCATTTTAATAGCGGCAGAAGTGCTCGGGCTGGAACTGGCGACTGCACTGCGGCAAACTGCCCAGGGAGGCTGGGCTGCGGGGACAGTATAGAATGAAACCAAGAGTAGTAAGAACTACATGCTAGGGCCAAGAGCAGCAGTGGCACAACAGCGTTACTTCCCGTCCCCACTAATGTGAGAAGGCACTGAATCGTCTTGCTTCCCCTTTTGCAACACTACGAACCACAGCCCTTCTTCTCTCTCCTTTCAGGAATGAGCTGGTCCATGGCTAGCCTCAAACAAGCTTGCTTTTGAACAGCCTCTCATTTCCCCTGTGTGGAATTCATGCCTCCAGATGCTTTTGACTGCAGCTCCTCAAACTCCCAGCAAACACAGCCAATGGCCAGCATTAGGTCAAGGGTAGTGCAAATCATCCAGGTTGTGGAACTTTGTACTCCTGTTTCCATCTGCTCCCCTGTCCCTTCTTGCGTGTCTCTTTACATCGTGACAAAACCTTCTGATAGGGACCTGCCAAGGTCGTCCTTTGCAAAGCACCATGCATCCAGGAGCCACTCTCGAATGACTAAACAAACATTGTTCTAGACCAAGCACATCTTTAGCCTTCTGGTTTTAGCACCATCTGAGTCAGAAATCCCAAGAGAAACATGACAGGACCTCCACCCTGCCCATCATTCTGCCAGCTGGTACACCAGAGCACTACTAGGAAAAGTGTTAGTGTTTAGTTGCTAAGTTTAGTTGCTAAGTCGCGTCATGACCTCATAGACAACATTCCTCCAGGCTGTCCTGTCCTCCACCATCTCTCGGAGTCCACCCAAGCCCACTCCCACTGCCCCAGTGACTCCATCCAGCAACCTCATCCTCTGCATCCCCATCTTTTGCCATCTATTGTTCCCAGCATGAGGCTCTTCTCCGGGGAGTCCTTCCTTCTCATTAGGTGGCCAAAGTATTTGAGCTTCATCTTCAGTATCTGGCCTTCGAAAGAGCAGTCGGGGTTGATCTCCACTAGGACTGACTGGTTTGATTGCCTTGCTGTCCAAGGGGCTCACAGGAGTCTCCTCCAGCACCACAATTCAAGGGCCTCAATCCTTTGGTGCTCAGCCTTCCTTGTGGTCCAGCTCTCACAGCATACGTTACAACTGGGAACACCACAGCCTTGACTATACGCACTTTTGTCAGCAGGGTTATGTCTTTGCTTTTTAGTATGTTAGGAAAAGAGGCTCCCCAAAAAACTCTCAGTCAGTGCGCACGTCGCCCAAGCCTCATTCGCCTTCTGTCGTCAGACCAGGGCTCACCCACTCCAGATAAGAGATCTCAGCCCACTCATAAATCTCACTTGAAGACTTCTACTGGCTCAGCAGTTCCAAGACCCAAGAGAAAAGAGGCAGAAACAGCACATATTTTGGAGTCGTGCTACAGATGCCTCCCCCCACCCCCCGATAGCCTCCCAGCGCAAGTCTGCATGCTCTGCTCCACTCGGCCTGTTCTCTCCTAGGGAACTGTGGGGCAGGGAAGGGAAGTGCTCCAGACATTGCTGGGAATGGGGGAAGTTCCTGCTGCCCAGTGGAGAAAAAAGCCTCTGCTACCAATCTTCTTTGGGAAGCCTCCCTCAGACCGCCCCTCATATCCTGTTTCTTTGGCCAGCCCCCCTGCCCCACACCCCATTTTGGCCCTTAAACCACAGCCTACGAGACAGGCTGTTTGCCTGCAACTGCAGCGCCTCCTCCATCTCTGTGCAGCCCATGTGGCCTCTGCACTCCCATGGAGAGCAGGGGTGGGAAATGCCTGTAGCAAAAGGGCATTGTGGAAAGCCCACCCGTTCCCTCGGTCCTTGAATCACCACGGCAGCCTCGAAGCTGAGATGGGTCGCTGGGGCCCACAGAGCTCGGGCACGGCACCCAGGAGGGACGTCACGGCAGCCGCTCTGAGCACTGCGGTCACCCTTGCCTCCACGGGCCCTGTGCCTTCTGGGCATGGGCTGACTGGCTGAGGATGGACAGGGACCCCCCAGCGCAGGCATGAGGGTGGAAGAGGCCGCCGGCTGCTGGTCTGGCTCAAAGGGCCCGAGGTGGCCATGCTGCACGGGGCGGGATCTCACGCGAGCGCCTGGGGCAGGCGGCCTGGACGGCTCAGCCTTCAGCCTGTGCTGCCCGGAAAGGCCCAGGGTGCAGAGCGAGGTCCAGCACTGGAGGCAAGGGGGACACCAGCCTAGCCCAAGGGCATCCTGGTGAGAAGGAACGGTACGAAAGGAGAGAGCATCGGGCCAGGGAGCTTCCTTGTCTCTACGAGAAATGGGGCATGAGGTGCATGATTCTCCACCATGCCCTGCTGCTGGGATGGGAGAGCAAGATGCCACCTTCCAAGACGGCAATGAAGATCTGTCACAGCCAGTTTCCTGAACTGCACAGAAGCCCGTGCTTACGGGACAACTGCTACTCAGTACTGTCTGTTGAACAGGAGAAGCTAAATTCCAGACCTCTTGGAGAAAGTGTGCCACCTTTGGAGGTGAGGAGATGCAGAAGCCTTCTCTGGAAAGGTGGGAAGTAGAGACAGTCACCAAGTAGACACAGGGGGAAGGAAGTTTCAATTTTCAAATTTCAGTTAAACTGATAGCAGGAACTGCAGCACCTGACACAAGCTGCAACCCAGGGGGTCAAAGTCTCTGGGAGATGCAAAGGACAAGAAAGCATAGGACCATCTCCCTGTGGGTTTGCACATGGCACTCAGAATGCACTGGACTGGAGCAGGAACCTTCTGGTCAGTAACGAGCACCAGATCCTACAAGGCATCATGCAAAGCATTCAAAGGCCTAGGAGTCAAACTCTGCTTTGCTCTCAGGTGAGAAGATACAGCACTGTTGGAAGCTAAATTTTATTCCCCCCCCCCCCCCCACACACACATCTGACACAGAAACAGGGCAGCCATGGCCTGTGTGGCCTCCACAGGATGACCAGGACTCCCAGCAAGGGCAGTAGCATGTCCAGCAGCATTGGCTCGTAGGACGCACTCTCTGGCCTTGAGACCTTCTCTAAGGGACTTCCCATTCCAAGCACCTGCCACAGCCAGAGCGGGGATTTGGGCCCGCACTGATGTCCCTTGCCATGTCGGGAGGCGCTGCCTGCCGCAGCGATGCCACCGAGCAGGCAGCATCTAGGGAGCCAGGGTGCTGCTTGCAAGGCCTTCCAGACCAAGGTGACGAGTGTTGATCACGGCCAGGTGGCGAGGGAGAGTGATTGTACAGGGAAGCATCACTGATCTCCCCCTCTGGCACCAGGGCAATGAAAGCGGGATCTTGGGTTTTGACCAGCATCAATATCCAGTACTGTAGCTCTGATGGCAGAGCAGGAAGAGCAGCTGAGTTGGAGCTCATGATGGTAGTTGGTCCTGCACCAATTTTGCCACCTGCTTGAGCCTTTCTTTCACATTGGAAGACGAAGCCACAGATGATTTTGAAGCGTGGCTGTTTCGGCTGGCTTCCTTGCTAACTAAACTGTCCACAACCGCTTTGGTGTTGGTGAGACCCAGGGACTCTGTTGTCTCAAGGCTGGAGCTAGGCTATGAGCCAAATCCAACTGAGACCCTGGTAGAGGCTTCCGCAAGGCAGACACACCTCCAGCTGGGCCAGGGTGAGGATTCAGCCATGGTCTCCCTGGCTCCTCCACAGCCTCTGAATTATTGAGACCGGTTCCTTCAGGCTTGCTTTGTGAAAGCATGGCAAAGTACCCTGGCCTCCACCTTATACTTCCCTCCAAGGCAAAAGAGGCACAGGGAATGCCCATCAGTCACAGTGGACAGGCTTCCAAAAAGGCGACTGGGGAGCCACAAACCTGCTAGGTGATCACTAGGCTGTGGAAAACAGAACAGTAAAATAATAAAAGTGAAGTAAAGGGGTGATGAACAATAATCAAAGAGAGAGAAAGACCGACCAACAGACAGACCTTGGCAAAAATTTTCAGACAAACTGAATGCAGAAAAGTTCCCTAACCAGGCTACCGCAGGTCAAAAAGGGTCAAAGGAGGTCAGAAAAGAACTGAGGAACTAAAAAGCAGAACACCCCAGGGACACACAGGCTGGGACAGTGAGGTGCAGCGATTGGCCAAAATTCCTCAGTGACAGAAATTTCTCAGACTGAGTTCCATGCAGGAGCACAGCCCATATGGATGATGCCCAGAGACCTCAAAGAAGATGCTCCAGTTGGATCTTCAGCTCAGCAGTGGACAAAAACAGATTTATTCCCTGCTGCCCAAGAGGACAGGCCTATGAAGAGCGGACAGCAATGTTGGGGGAGCAGGTTTCAGCCAAGTGTTGAGAGAAACATCCTAACAGAAAGATGGAGCAGATTACCAGGGAAAATAGTGGGCCCTCCTTTGTGGGAGGCATTTAAGCAGAGGCTGGACTCCATCTGTCAGGAAACCTGCTGCCACATCTTGCATTAAATAGGAGTTGGACTAAATGACCTCCAAAGCACCTTCCCACTCTCTGCTTCTATGAATATGCACCACTTCCCTCACCATGAACCAAGCAGCACATGCTGTGATTATCTCTTAAATCTCATAACAATCAGAACAGTACTAGCCAGAGTCTCCTCCCACCACCCTTTCTGTTTAAGCAATGGAATCTGTACCTTCGCCACGAGTGCTGAGCACTGCGACCTCCAGTGAGTGGTGCAGAAATGCAGCCATCCTGAAGCATCATTGTATGTGAGCAGAAATGAACACTCGGTGTGCCAGTGTGAGCAAGTAACTGTGCACACCTGCGTGCGTGTGCACGCACTCCCCAGCCAAGGCACCCAATTGAGAAGGCCAGGAAGCCGGCCACCTGCCACACATTGTGCTCCTTTTTTGAGCCAGATGTTGATTATCGAAGTGTTCCTGCTCATCGTCATGATTAGGGGTTTAGCCTGAAATAGGAGGCAGCATCCTGAGGCTACTGAGCTCATCTCAGAAGGTCTGTTCAGGCCTCTGGCGGGGCTGCCTGCCCCTTTCCCAGCAATCCACTGGACAGGCAGGGGCAGAGGGGAAGAGTGAAAAGGCCCTGGCCCCCTTGCCACCAGATGCCGCTCCGAACAGGTGGTCCCCTAGGGAATCCCCTCCAATCCCTTGACGGGGACAGCAAAATCCGTGGGCTTAAACGAGGGGCTCCCAAGAGAGCCACACCCCTTTCCTTTGCTCCACCTCGCCTTCTTGCAACCGTTGACCATTTGGTGGTTTTCTGGCTTCGGTGCGTTGGCATGACCACCCTGTGGCTTGGTTCCCGGCAGCAAGAGCATTCTTAAGCTAAAATAGGATGGTGTTTCCACTAATTTTGCACGCACACACACTCCCTGCCTCACACACTTTGTGTTCTTGCTGCCTGCCATGAAACATAGTCCCTGAAGGGGAGACAGCAGTTCTGCCTCCCTGTCCCCTGTGGCTCCTCCCTGCTCCCCGGACACAGCCAACAGAGCCCACCTTCAGCTTTACGGCGGCAGATCCCACCAGCAGCAGGGAGTCTCCATCCCAGAGGTCCATTTGCAGGGTGTGCTCCGCGAGGTAACGGAAAAACCACCGCTGTTCACCAGGCTTGAGAAAAGCAGGATCCACCATGTAGCTCAGCTGGAAACCTGGGGAGCCTGTTTGAGAAAGCAGCTCATCATGGGGGCATTAATGACACAACACCCTGAGCAGGAGAGACACTCCCCCAAGCCCCAGAAGCTTTCGCCAACCATTGCAAGCTGGTCCATAAGAGCAACTGGCCCACAAAAGCTTGCCGCTAGCCCTCACACCAACTCCTGTTATTGCTATGCATGTGGCCAACCACAGACTCCTTGAATGGAAAAGCTGGGAACCGGGCTGCCTCGGCAGCAGGAGGGCTCCCCTGTGGACTCTTGGCCCCCCATCCAGTGAGTCTGCTGAGTGCCTTCTGCCTCCCATCTCTGGAGGGGAGGGCCAGGACTGTATCTCCAGCTGCCAGGGAACAAAATAATCTGAACATACACACACACACACACACACTCTCCCAATAATCACAAATGAGCACCTTTAATAATAGGCTTGTCATGATCCGTACCTTCTGCACTGCCTTGCCTTCTGACCTCACTGTTTACAATTCCCACCATGGCTGCCACCCTCCTGCATACCGTAGAAAAGCCCTGGAATGCTGCAGTGTGCCAGACACCTGATGGAGTGGCCACAGCACACCAGATGCTTGGGCCAGAATGAATTTGTTATCTGTAAGGCTCCGTGAAACTCCTTGCTGCATTTGCTGCAATAGCTGTCCCCTGGAAATTAATATAACCCGGGCGGCCCCTCTAATTGCCAAACATCTTGTAAAGACAGATCAGGGTTGTTCAGGACACATGGGCAGCATCCTCCTCAAGCACGGGCTACGCTGAAAGGTGTGTCCCACTCTACTTGGCATTTGCATGGACCATTCCACACGCGGGAAGGGAGACTTTCTGAACTCCGGCAGCCTTTCCCAAATGAGGGTCCTGCAGATGCATTGGACTACGAGTCCCATAATCTGGCTAGGGGTTTAGAGGAGTTCTAGCCCAACTCACCTGGTGGGCACCAGGTCGGGAGAGGCTGAATTGAAGATTCTGCCTCTCCTAGGACCAAGTTCTAACAAAACCACAAAATGCATTGCACTGTGGGGAAAAAAACCTGGATGGATCTAGACTGGCAACCCAGAGGAGTAGGGAAATCAGTCCCTCCATCTGCCCAGCTCATGCCACAGCCAGCAGCCCCGATGGCCCAGTTCCTGTCCTGGGTCTTATGGCTAATGGGGAGGGCTGAAAATCAATCAATCAATCAATCAATCAATCAAATACATACATACCTACATACATACATACAGTACATACCACTGCAGACCGCAGGTGCAGCTTACATGACCACAAGTTTCTCTACATCAAACTGATGGAATAAAAATCCACGCACCAGGTGGAAGGGCCCTTGCCTGTCCCTCTGCCTGAGGTGCTGCTTTCCTGTGAGCTGGGAACTCCCCCATGGAGAAAATCCCACCGTGTGAAGCGAGACGCAGAGACTTTCTCTAAAGCAGGGCCCAGAACTGCTCCCCGGGGCTTTAAGCGCCCAGAAGAATCTGCTTGGCTTTGAGGGCTCCTGCCGCTCTCACGGGATCATGGCTGCATTTTATTTATTTATTTATTTACTTACTTACAAATAAATCAATTAAAATACTATAAATTAACAATATAAAAACAAGTTAACAATATAAAATAAGTCACCCTGGCCAAAAAATAAAATAAATAAATACTATTAACAGTTAAAATGATGTTTGAATAAAAAGGTCTTCGCCTGGCGCTGAAAAACAAATAACGACGGCGCCAGGCGGACCTCTCTGGGGAGCGCATTCCATAGATTGGGCGTGACCGCAGAGAAAGCCCTCCTCCGAGTACTTACCCTCCTAATTTCCTTCACGGAGGGTTCCCGGAGAAGGGCCTCTCCCGTTGATCTCAGGGGGTGGGCGGGCATATATGGATGTAAGCGCTCCTTCAGGTAACCAGGACACAAGCCGTTTAGGGCTTTATAGGTCATCACCAACATCTTGAATTGGGCCCGGACTTCAATGGGAAGCCAGTGAAGCTGACGGAGAACTGGAGTCATGTGAACATAACGCCCAGTCCCCGTCAGCAACCTGGCAGCTCTATTTTGAACCAATTGAAGTATCCGGACCATCTTCAAGGGTAGCCCCACGTAGAGTGTGTTACAGAAGTCAAGGCAGGAAGTCACCAACGCGTGTGTCACTGTCGCCAGGCAGTCGTACTCCAGGTAGGGGCGCAGCTGATGGATCAGCCGAAGCTGAAAGAAAGCGCTCCTCGCCACCGCTGTCACCTGGGCTTCCAGTGAAAGCTCTGGGTCGAGGAGCACTCCCAAGCTGCGGACCTTGTCCCTAAGAGGGAGTGCAACCCCATTCAGGACTAGGTTCAATTCACCCTCACCGAAGCCCGATCCGCCAACCAACAGGACCTCCGTCTTGTCTGGATTGAGCTTCAGTTTATTGGCCCTCATCCAGCTCATTACCTTGGCCAGGCACCGGTTCAGCACAGCCACTGCCTCACCTGGATTGGTGGAAAATGAGAGGCAGATCTGGGTATCATCAGCGTACTGATGATTCCGCAGCCCACACCTCCTGATGACCTCTCCCAGTGGTTTCATATAGATGTTAAACAGCAAAGGGGACAAAATGGAGCCCTGTGGTACTCCATGGCATAGCTGCCATGGTGCAGAGCCATAGTCCCCCAGCACCACCTTCTGGAATCGGTCATTGAGATAGGAGCGGAACCACTGCAAAGCAGTGCCTCCAACCCCCAGTCCCACTAGCCTACCCAGAAGGATACCATGGTCAATGGTTTCGAAAGCCGCTGAGAGGTCCAGAAGAACCAACAGGCCATGAGAGCGGCGTCAGCTGGCCCCCAGCTCGGCGGCGCGCCTCAGGTCTGGCGGCGGCAGCGATGACAGCGCGGCGCGGCAGGTGATCTGAGCCGCGGAGCGCGGCGGGTGTTCGGGGATGGGGGAGGGAGCTCCAAGCACAAAAGAAACTCCTGCTTTTCCAGTGCCTCCTGCACACCAGACCCCTGGCTTAAGACCATGGCAGTGCCCCAGGTGGCTCTGGGAAGCTTCAATTTTAGTGAAAAGGAAGTGCAGTCTCCTGGTGTTTCGACACAAGTGTGTCTTAACTTCCCTCAGATTGTGCCCTAAGCAATTCTGTAAGCTTCCTTTGGAATATTATATAGAAAAGCTGGGTAGAAAAGCCTAGGAAAGTCCATGGAAGGACTGTTTGCTGCCCCCTCCTCCTCCCCACAGCCGACTGTGCCTGCCAAGACCTCACTGGGGTCCCTCTGGCCATGTGGGGAAGGGCCTGGACATCCGTCCTGGGGAGGAGATGACGAGCATCCCTTCAGTGAACTTATCTGAGCCTCTCAGAGCTCCAGCGGGGTGGAGGCTTGACCTGCTCCTCAGTGCCTTGAACACTGGGAGATCCTAACGAGCTATTTCTGCAGCTTGACTACAGAGACCAACTTGAAGTGGGGAGGGGAGCTCGGTACATGAGCAAGACAGCTGGCATGAGGCCTCCACAACATGGGGTGCAGCTTGCTATGTCTGCCTTAGAAAGAAGCCAAGGACTGGCAGCAGGTGCGTCAGGGCCCCTGCCAGCTCAGCCTGGGCATCAGGCAGGAGACGGGAAGCAGGATTAAACTCGCTCTCAGGGCCAGCTCCATTTCCATCATATGGACAGAAGGATGGATGTTGCTGACAGGCAGCTGAGGATGGAGGCCTGTGGGTGCACCCGAGTGCAGGTTTTTGCACTGTGGGGCGGGGGGTGCAGTGTCTTGAAGCAAGAGGCGGCTGTACTCCAGCCGGCCTCGTGGTCGTCCCCGCCACATGGCCCCCTCTCCATCCTGTGCAAAGCAGAGCGCTGACAGTTGGCTGTGAGGTTCAAGCGCTGTGAAAGAGAAGGCCTCTGAGACAGCAGAGCCAACCCTGAACCTCAATTGGCTGGGGAGGATGGAAGATGTAGCCCAAAATGTGGAGGGCGCTGAGGAGGGATGCTGTGTTATGCAACACAGGCCTGAACACTACCAAGGAAAGTCTGCTCCTGGAGAACTGAATTGCCCCGATTCTAACCGCTTCTGGAGGCCCTGGGTGAAGCTGCTGAGGTCCTAGGTCAAGGCAGAGAGGGAGCCCCACCCCAGTGTTGCTGGACTACCACTCCCATCCCCCCCGACAACAGGCCAGGCTGACTGGGAATCCAGCACCATCCAGAGCAGTGGTTTTCCGCCACCGGTCCATGGGCCAGCGCCAGCCCACAGGAGATTTCCTGCCAGTCCATGGGGTGGGGTGGGGGTGCATCCCACTCGCCAGAGACCAGTGCGGGGGCTGGCTGGGCTCACCGCCTCATCCTTGGTCAGCATCACGTTCGTGGAGGGTGCACCGCGGAGGGGAGAGACGGCTCGGTGGGAGCCACACCATGCTGATTTTGATATTTTATCCTTTGTTGGCATTTTTTGTTGCTCAGTTTCTGGTTGTTTTGGAGTATGAAAAGAGCTCACCTCTTAGAAACGGGGGGGGGGGGAGATTCTACCCTCCTGCTGCTCTCAGGCCTTACCAAGGTTCAGGGTCCCATCTCGGTTCATCTGCACCAAGATGTGGGAAGAGGCGGCCAGCGGAGCTGCTCCAGAGGCGTCTGTCTGGACCAGCTGCAGTCGCGGTGTCGTGACCGGAGGAAACCGGTAAAACTGGAAGGTGAAATAGATGGCTTGTGGTCCTGTCACTGCAGCGATCCCATCCTGGGCGGCCCTTGTCGAACAAGCCAGAGGAACAGAGCACAGTTGGTCCGCTGCTCTTAGGAGCTGATGCTCCACCAGCCCCAAGCCACACACCAGCACCTTCCAGACGGCCGTTGACAGGCTCCAAGCCTGCACCCTAGGAGGGCTGCAGAGTGCCAGCAAGGGTGCATTCCCCAAAGAGCTGAAGCCTTCTGTGAAACCAAACCCTGCACAGGGGAGACTGCCCATGGCATCTCTGCATGAGTCCCTGCTCTGATCCTGCCTCCCTCCAGTTCCGCTCACTTGGGACTGGAGAATTCTGCCAACCTGGCTGTCATGGAGACCCTTCCTGCTGGAGACCCATGTGCCTTTTGGAAGCTTTATACAATCTCCCTGCCTGCACTGGCTGTTGGAACTCAGAATTAAGTAGGGAATGTCTAATGATCCATATTAAATCTGCTTTCCTTGTTTTTCCTTTCCTGCCTACCCTGAGCCTTAAACCCCTAAGTATCTTGCTTTGCCACCCCAACCCTGCCCCTAGAAAACAAGTTTCTAGCCCTCATGGCTATGCAGACACTTCTAGAAACATGAAGGCAATGGCAGTGATAGTTTCTTAGATGGTACCATGAGAGCCTAGACCTGCCAGAGATCATAAGGAGGGGGTGAGAGAGACTGGACCCAATTCATTCCTAGATTAAAATCTGTCCAACAAAACCAAGTGAGTATGAGTCACAGAAAAACTGCTTAAATTGTGAGTTGCCCAGAGGTGCTGCAGCACAATCGGGCAGCATACAAGTGTCACAAACAAACAAACAAACAAACAAACGGGGCCTCAGCAATCTCTAGCAGTTGCTAAACCATTTCTGTGTGTGTGGTTTCCATGGCAGTTGCAGAAAAGGGTGTCAAGGAAGCAACTCCAAGCTCCCCAGCCTTTCTCAAGAAAGGATCCAGGAATGAGATCAGAGCATGTGACCTGAGCAAAAGGGCAGCAAGAAACGCCCTTTCTCCTTAAGTATATATCAGAGCCGAGCCAAAGGTCCAACTGTCCCCTGGAGAACGTGGCTTGCATTCTATCCCACTCCTCAGCCCCGCAAAGGAGAGGAGGATATGGCCGGTAAGAATGTTTCAGCAAACAGTTATGCAAATCAGGGAAGCACTGAAGTGATGCCCTCTTCCACATTTCCTCCGAGAAGTTGTTCTTGTTGGACTAGCTCAGGGAATGAGCTGCTTTCCCACCCCAGGTTCCTGGCCAGTCGGGTCAGAAATTGCGGCGCAGCGTTCTCCAGAAACTGGAACATCCGTCAGCAAACAAGCCAACAAACTGCACTTTGTCACTGCCATCAATGGTTTAGTTTGCTTTGTGTGAGCAGAGCCATTTGGCCAGGACTCAGAAGAAAAGTGGGGACATTTTTGAAGCAGCCTTCGAACAACTACTGCAAAATTGGAAGCATTTTTTCAATATATATAACAGTAGAAGCCAGACTATACACTTGCTGGGGCCTTACCTGGTAAATGAGAGAAAGTGCAAGACGATCTCATTGTTTTGCAAGAGGTCTGCTTCTTCAAGTTGTGGATTGTAGTTCACAGGGTCTGTCGGATTCACCATTTGAACAGGCTCCTTATTGCAGTCCAGGAGCTCAGGAAAGCCAGAGGCACGGAGGCGGGCAAGAGAGGCCCGCGTGGGGGCAGTGCTAGGACTGGAGAACAGGCAGGTGTCCACGGGTGAGGATGGGGCAGGAAACCAGAGGCTCCGCACAGAGGATGCCGCCTGTGGTCCATGATCCTTGCCATGCGGCTAACCTTAGTGCAAGCCCATGCTGGGCCCAATCTAGCTTGGAGGCAGGGGAGGTCTAAACCTCCCTAGCTGGACACATTTCCCCACAAAATTCCTCACACCACCATCACAGGATGTAAGCAAAGGAGTTTTGCAGGGAAACAGGAGCATGTGGAAAAGCTTAACCCTCCCCTTCCTGTCTGTGGTGGTCCCAATCCTGATGAGGGGGCCTAAAAATAAGGTAGCATGTGGTTTGACCATGTGCCTGTTCCCAGAACTTCTCCTGGAAGCATCAGCTGGGCTTAAGAACAGGGGGAACAAAAAGCCAGGTTTTCAGCAGCTGAAAAACTGTGGCTGGCAAGCTACCCACCCCAGGGAAACTCTTGTTAGTCTTCCTCTAAAAACTACTCTACTTCTGAAACTTTTTAATCTACTTCGGAAGCTTTTGTTAATCTGGCAGTCTTCCCAGCCCCTGGAAACACTTGGGGTCTCCTTCATTTTGCCAGCGGCATCGGTACGCCTACATGGTCAGGGCCTGTCAGCCCGCAGGTGTGCTGTCAGAAGGTGGCCCAGGGAGGTGCAGGAGCGCAGCTTTCTGCTCAATGTGCAGCTGGATCAAGGCCACCAGCTGAACAGCCACTCGCAAAAGAAACTCCTGCTTTTCCAGTGCCTCCTGCACACCAGACCCCTGGCTTGAGACCATGGCAGTGCCCCAGGTGGCTCTGGGAAGGATTCCTCCTGTCAAAGCATCTAGATTGGAAAGCCTGGGGCGGAGCCAAGGGGAGGGGGCATGGCCTCTTGGGACACCCCAGAGGGACACACAAGGATCCGGGGCGGGCCAGATTCAGCCCATGGGCTTGTGCTTCGGCCCCCACTGCTCCACGGGAAAAAGCACTGGATGTTCTCCCTTGGCAACACCCGAGAAGAGCAGAGCGCAATGCTGCATAACCACGAGGGCCCGCCCGCCCACCTACCTGCCCAGACGCGCGTGCTCCACGGCTGGAGCCAAGGAGCCCTCTCCTGCCACAGCATCTGAGGAGTGCTGCCTCAGAGCTGCAGGTCACTGCTCGACATGCGGATCCCTCCCCGATGCCTCAGCCCTTCCAAGCAGGATGTGGGGCTGAATGCCCTCTATTTCCCCTTAGAGCCCTCTCCAGGCCGGCCTCTACCCAACCCACCAGTGCAAAGCAAGCTCCCCCTGCTTTGCTGAGATTCTGCCGATGAGGCTGCACTTCTGGCAGCTGCGGTTCCTCCAGAGCAGCACTGCAGGGAGTCCCCCCCCCCCCCCGTGGTCCAATGGCCCCGCCTGCTGGGCCAGCACCAGCCACCAGGCATCCCAGCTGGCGAGCGGTCCCAGCCCCCAGGCCCAGGCCTCACCTTCCGACGGGAGCCCCTGGGGCCAGGATGGGCACGTGCACCGGGGTGAAGGGCAGCTCCTGGAGCTGCTCTGCTGGGGAGGCTTCCTGAGCCGAGGAGTCACAGCTGAGGTCCATCTCCAGGTGCGTGATGCTCCCACGTGGGCTCTTCTGCTTGAAAATTGAAGGAAAGGGAGGAAAGGGGCACCTGAGAGACACGCAGGGGCTGACATGGCGGCAGGGGAAGGACTTCCCTGGGGTGGCCAGAAACATTGGGCAACCAACATGAGGGGTCAACATGCCCTCCGCTCTTCTCTCTGCCCCCTATTCTGCCCCACATGGTTTTCCTTCCCTTCAGTGGGACCCTGTGGGCAAGAGGCTCTCTGTGGAAAGGGCAGCTTCCTGAGAATCTCAGCTCTCGTGTGCAGGAAAGATCTTCCCGTTCTTGTGGCCACCAAGACAGGCCTGCCAGGGGTGTGGGCAGTGCTGAACCAGGTGCCCAGCTGTGGGGAACGTGGGGGGAGCCACCACCCTGGACCATGTGGCCTCCCCCTAGGACAGCAAAACAAACAAACAAAACCAACAACAACAATAATAGTGGAAAATAAGTGAGCAGGTTGAAAGGGGCTGCTCATGTGAGACCCACAATGCTGGTTTTCTGAGGCATCTGCTAATGACTGGAGATTGCGTCAAGTCCAGATCAGGCCCTGGAAGTCGCGACATGCGAGGGCGGCCTGCCTGCAGCCGGTCCCCCAGATGAGCTGGGCTGCCAGGCCCGCCCCAGCTGGCAACTGCGAGAGCCGCCGCTGGCTGGAGCATCTGGAGGGCACAGGGTGGAGGGGCACGGAAGCAGCGCAGTGTTTGCCTCTGACCCCAGGTGGTCTCTGGTAGAATGCGTGGAGAAGCGAGCATCTCCCTCCAGCAACATCAGTCACACCAGCGTTTCTAGGCTAGTGTTGTTACATTTGAGCCTCTGAGCGTGCACAGAGGGAAATGTTGAGCCCGTTCTGCTGTCCATTACCCAGAGCTCTCCTCCTGAGCCCTTCTGTGCCGGGTCCCCGGGGAGGGGCACAGAGCAAGCAGGCTCGCCTGTGCTCCTCCCATTATGCCCCAATGGGGCCTTTCTCCAGTCATGGTGCCCAGCAATGGGTCTCTGTCCAGTGGCTGTTCCCCACTGGAAAAACGACCCACTTCACAGCCGTCTCCTTGGCCTGCACCTCCTCCCTGCTTGTCCGCCCTTGGGCTCTTCCCCCCACAGCCAGTCCCTGCGCAGATTGGGTTTGAACAATCTTGTATTCGCAATCCGAGCTGCTGGGCCTGTCTGACCCCCCGGCATCTGGCACAATGTGTGTGCACCACAGGCAGTGCTAGAGTGCTAAAAACCCCCCTACTCAGTGGGGAGGCCCTGCACGCCCACTGGCGGGAAGGAAGAGGCGGCTATTCTCAGCACACTTTCCACAGGCAGCCTGGTGCCGGCTCTTTGGATTAGGGCTGCGAGGGCTGGTGAGCGGGGAGTATATGGACCACGGGGGCTGAGTGGGGAGCGGCTATCTCAAGGCCGCTGCCTCCAGGTGCGCAGGCAGACCCTGGGCTTGGAAGTGAAGGGAGGGGACTCGGGAGAGGAGCAAGAGGAGCTCGTGCCCGATCTGGTCCGTGCCCCCACGGGGTACCCAGTTAGAGGGTTTGCATGGATCTGGGAGACTCGCCCTTCTCCAGAGGGGCCCTCCCCGGGGTGAGGGGGGGAGCCCAGGGTTACTGCAAGAGAGGGTCTTCGGAAGTAGCTTCCGGTCTGGGTTCGGCAAACCACTCTGTGCATGCTCAGGGACTCGTCTTTCGGGGCAGCACTTCGTTAGCAGTGAATTGCAAATAGAGAGCAATTTTGGGACAAGGCAGTCTGTTGCTCGAATGGAATGAGGGGCAGCTCGTGTCTAGGACGCCCCACAGCCCTGCTAGCCCCCTTCCCTGGCCGCTCCCACAAGGATGAGGCTGTTTCAGGGGTTTTAAGTCCTGCACTATACTTTGAACGTTTACACCACTGCAAGGTCTGACGCTGCCTTTTACTTCTCTTTTATATTGCAGTTTGGCACTGTATCTCATGCTTCAGAAGGTTGTGACTGACCCAGAGAGCTTCAGAGCTGCTGCTGCCATGTGCCATCGAGTCACCTCTGACTTAGGGGGACCCATTCAACAAGAGCCAGAGCTTTCCCTAGAAGCAACACAGTCAACGCTGAAGCTGTCTTACTTCTCATGCAGGACACCAGGAGAAGGCCAGGCGCCCTGGAGAAGACCGTCATGCAAGGGGAAGACAAAGGCAGAAGACAACAAGGCGGACCAAATCCGAGAGGGAGAGGCTCCAACAAGGAAGCCCGCCTTGGATTTAGAAGAGCTAAGCGGGGCTGTCGTGGGCAGGCCAATCTGGGGGCCTTGCCTGCGTGGGCTTGCCATAAGTCAGACGGCAACTTGACAGCATGTAACCACCAGAACACGCGCAAAAGCTCTCCAGAATGTCCTGCCCATGACAGCCCCACTCAGCTCCTATAAATTCAAAGTCGTGCCTTCCTTTACGTAGTCAGTCCACCTCTTAATCGGACTTGTAATTTATTTTCCCAATATTTTAAGGTTTGATTGTCCTTTATAATATGGGTTTTATCACTAGAAAATGATCAGGATGCTGTGTTTTCTTTTGTTTGATTCTGCTTTACTGTCAAACCATTCTGAGACCTTGGTAGACATTTTTAAAAAAAGTTATGAATGAATGAATGAATGAATGGGCTGGGTGGTATAAAAGTGCAATCAATCAATAAATGCACACACACACACACACACACACCTCTTGTGCCTGCCTCAGCGCCTCGGAGGCCTGCAGCGGCAATGTGCCCCTGGGCCGGCACAGCGGGGGTTTGGAGGCATGGTCCGCTGGACAAGCCGAGAGCTGCGATATCGAAAGCTGGAAGGAAAGGGCTGCCGTTACCTTGGAAGATCCCCTCTGAGAGGTGGGGGGGAGTTCTGTGCCTGACGTCCAGCGCATCCTCCCAGAGAAGAGCCACGGGAGGCGCTCAGGGTTCCTAGAGCAGCGGCGGTGCCCAGAGCCACCCAGAGCCAGGCCACGCATGGCTGAGAGGAGGGTCAATCCTCGACCTTAATCCTTGACCTGACCCTGAAGGTTGGGTGCATGGGTGTATCATTTCCCTCTGATGATGCTCTCAGGGCAAATGCTTACTTGCATGTAGCTAGCAAGCACATCAGAAAGTTTTTCGCAACCCACCCTTGATGCGGCCTGTTTTCCTACGAAGTTCTCCTGCAATGAAGGTGCATGACCCAATCCGACACACCTTTGCTCAGAATGAGGGCCCACTGGTTCCAGTGGAGCTGAGTCCCTGCTACGGATGCTCAGGACGGCCACCATGAAGAGGGAGCCCAGCGCATCTTCACCGGAAACTCAGCTCTGCCAAGCTGAACAGGCTTATTTCTCAATGTCAGGGACACGGCTGCTAGACTCCGCACTCTTCCTACTTTGTAGAATCAGTAATAACAGCCCTTGACTGACAGGTAGCAAAGTGGTTAGAAAGTTGGACAGGAACCCAGGAGATCTGGGTTCTGGTTCCCACTGAGCCACGAAGCTCGCAGCCTAAGTGACTTCGCACCAGTCATGGACTCTCAACCTCATATGGATGTTGCGAGGATAAAATGGAGAAGCGAGTGAGGAAGATCAGGGCAGCTGCCTGGGGGTCCCCCGCAGAGGAAACACGCAAGATGTAAAAATAGCAAAACACTAATCATTACAGACCACGTGAGCAGTGGCTACCTGATGAGGGGCAGGAATGGGGTGTTTCTGAGGAAAGCAGAGCCTCCTGAGAATGGTATGCTGGCTGAAGTATCCGACTGGGATACGGGAACCCTCCATTCTAGTTGTTGCTTAGCCGTGAAGCTTGGTGGGTGACGCTGGGCCTAACCTGCCAGCCAACCAGCGGTTTCTTCGCCCAGAGCCAGCCTGCAGCACATGCGGGTCTGTGTGGCCAGAAACGCAGAAAGCATGGGTTGTGCAAGGGTTAAACAACCCTCACATAACCTAGAACAGACTGTGGGTTATATAACACACAAATGCCCTGCGCCATGCCGTGCGGACCAGATCAGGGAGTGCCTGGGTCAGTCTCTGACTCTTGGCCAAACCAACCTCACAGGGTCGTTGTGAGATAAAAGCCACCTGGGGTTCCCCACAAGAGAAAAAAAGGCTGAATGTAACACTTCTGGACACTCTGGCACTTTTTAAACAGACCAGGAAGCAGGAGTTTGCTTTCCACGGGGGCTTGCGAGGGGAGCAAGCAGGAGAGGGCTTTGGGAGCAGGTGGCAACCCCTGGGAGGGCACTGTGCCCTTTGGAAGAGGGAGGCTCATCCTTGTGAACAGCCATGCTTCCTACTGAGGGCAAGCCTTGCCTCGCCACCACTGTAATTTGTTAGGGAAGGATGCTCTCCTCAGCCAGAGCACTGAGCGGCATCGAAACCAGTGGAGTTTAAAGACACACCAGTGTGCAACTCCGTGAAGGAGGCAGCCCTCCGGTGTGCATGTGACATGAGAGAGCGGGGAGAGAAGTGGCTGGCGTGACACCGGCCTCTCGCAGGGCAGCCCGCTCCAGCTGGGATTTGTGCAGGATCAGTTTTCCATGCAGTGATACCAAGGAGGAGGCCATGGAGGAAGGTGCATCCTCTCCTCTCCCCTCCTCTCCCCTCTCTGCACATCCCAACAGCTTTTCCTGGCAAGCAGACCCACTAAGCTCCACCAGTTCTTTCTTGCCAGAGCCAAGCACTTTCATTTAGCAGAGCTGCCCTCCACAAAAGGTGAGGACTCCACATGTGAAAGCGAGGGCATTAAGCTAGTAATTCCTAAACTGCAAACCTTGAGAAAAGAATCACTTAATAAAAGGAAAATCTTCCACAAGCCCAGGATGCTTCCTCAGAGAGGGGTCTGCCATTTGCGCCTCTGCATGAGTCCCTGCTCTACCCTTGCATCCTTTTCATCAGTCAACCAGATCACTGCAAATGCAGAATTAGCCACCCTTGCAGGGAGGCTGCCATTCACGGCACTGTGTCGGACCAGCTTCCTTCCAGCAGCCTATGCTGAGGGGTAATTATTCTGTGGTGAGTGCAAAACAAATTGCCACAATTCTCCTGATGCAGAATCCCAGGACGCACACTTAAACAAGACTTTTTGCAGCCACAGAACAGTGAGAAATCTATTGCAAAGACTTGGGAGAATTAGTTACTTTTGGGTGAGGCTGTTTATCGCATCCCTGCATGAGTCAATGCTCCTCACTTGTTGCTTTTCAATCTGCCCTTGCAGGGTATAAGGAAATGCCATGCTGCTTTTCTGCATCAAATGTGGTCAGCTCATTCCAGATTTAGAGACCTGACAGGTCTCCCTGCCTGCAAAGGAGATATAGGCAGAACAGTGACTCACACGGGCACACAGGGTGTGGAGACTCCTTTGAGTAGGTTGTCCATCACAGTCTTAAAGTATAATGTTTGGAGACATAAGATCTAAGTGTGTCTCTGCTTTTGATTCAGGAAACCAATTTATTTTCTGGGAATGCAACAATACACAATCATGCCCTCCGCACATACCCCCTCGTTTCCCATAATAAACCAACTGACAGAAACTCTCACACACTTACCCCTGGGCCTTGTGTATAATCTTGAGTGGAGACTAGCGTCTGAGAAGCTGGAGAATCTAGGAGAGCAAGGTGAGAAGGCAGGGCAAGCAAAGTCAGCTGGAGGTGAAGCTGAACACGGAGCTTTCAAGGTGAACATTTTTAGGCACTTTAAAGATGGAGGAGATATTCTCAGTGACCTCCCTTCTTCAAGCAGAGCTTGTGTTGTCTTGAACATTTATATTTCCTTTATTTATTTATATTGCAATTTATATCCTGCCTTTTTCCTACAAAGGGCTCAAGGCAGCTTACATCATTCTCCTCCTCCATCTTATCCTCACAACAACCCTGTGAGGTAGGTTGGGCTGAGAGTCTGTGACTGGCCCAAAGTCACCGAGTTGGCACCATGGCTGAGTGGGGACTAGAACCCAGATCCTCTGAGTCCCAGTCCCAGACTCTTAACCACTACACCACACTGGCTCTCTTGCTCACAAGCATAAGGGAGGGAAACCCTAACACTAACCACTGAATGGAGAGGAGTTAGTTTATCCCACCAAGGTACTTGGTTCAGCAACAAGGAAGACCTGAGGACCAGGGAGTGGGTATTCAAAGTATCATAGAAGAGTAGAGTTGGAATGGGCCATGGAGGCCATTGAGTCCAACCCCCTGCTGTTGCAAGACACCATGTTACACCATCCCACTCAGATGGCGGCCCAGTTTCGCCTTGAATCCCTCCGGTGTGGGAGTGCCCCCCACATCTCCAGGCAGCTGGTTCCACTGTCATGTTGCTCTGGCAGTGAGGAAGCTTTTCCTGATGTCCAGCCTGAACCTGGGTTGCCACAGCTTGACTTGATTCTTCCGTGTCCTGCACTCTGGTATCAGTGAGAAGAGATCTTGACCTTCCTCTTTGTGACAGCCTTTGAGGTACTGTGGTCTATTGTACTTCCCTCTCCTGGCCGGTCAGAGTACTAGTTCAGGGGTTGACATCTTGTGATGGGCCAGTGCGAGAGACAAGGATTCTGTTGCTGTACTGCCCACCCTGGTGCCCAACAAACTCCCCACCTGAGCCGACAAGGAGCTGAGGTCCCCCAGGCTATTGGTCTTGGGGGATTTTAGCAATCATGCTGAGGCCATCTTATCTGGGACAGCACAGGATTTAATGGACAACTCTGGGACTGTCCCAACATGTGACTGACCAAGGCAGGCATATGATGGATTTTCTTCTCCCACGCTGGGCAAGAAGATAGTGACCTGAAGGTGAAGGGCTTTGAATCAGTTTCTTTGCAGTGGCCAAATCCCAGCCTGCTGAGATTTAGGCTAAAGGCAACTGCAAGGGTGGAGGACTTATTCAGATGGCCCAGCCTGGAAGCTAATGGAACTGAGTGGTTTCCTGAAAGGCCTTGAAATTGTCCAGCTGGTATGGCCGGCAATGCTGTTGAATCCCTGGTTATTCTCTGGAACCCATAAGATCTGGGTGGTTGGCATGATTAAGGTTGTACGCCTCCTGAGGGCAATCAAGCAATACAGGAGTTAGCTACATCACAGACAGAGGAAAGCTCCTAGCAGATGCAACGGAGCTCTGGTGATGGCCTATAATTGGGGAGCTTTCCTCTGTCTCAATATATGAGTTGGGAGTGGGGGGCACTGCCCTGCAGTGGCTCAGCTCCTGCATGGAGGGGCATCTCCCAAAGGTGGTGCCTGGGGACTTGCACAGCCCCAGGGGTTCTCCAGTATGGAATTCCTTGGGTGCCGGTTCTGTCCCCCATGCTCTTCCACATCTACATGAAACAGAGAAGTGCACTCTGGAGTTTTAGAGTGAATTGCCATCAGAATGCTGATGATGTGCGGCCCTATTTCTTCTTTTCATCTTCATCAGGTGAAATTGTGGATGTGATAAACTGGTGCCTGGTTGGATGAGAGCCAGACAAGACTGAGATGCCATTGGCAGGTGGTTCCTCTGACCAGATGGAGGGTGCTTGACCTGCTTTGGATGGCATGGCACTCCCCTAAAGGAGCTGACTCATGACTTGAGAGTGCGCCTTGATCCATTGTTGTCACTCAGGTGGCCTTGGTGCCAGCTGTATCCCTATCTGGACAGGGGTAGCCTGGCGTCAGTACTCTGTGTCCTGTAATCTCGAAACTAGATTGACAAAGGTCAAGCTTGTGGCACAAGCTGCAGGTTCTGACCTGCCTTCTATCTTCAGGTCAGGAGCTGCAGGTTATGCCAAATGTGGCAGCCAGACCAGTAACTGGGACCAGGCTGTCTGAGCATCTAATTTCTGTTCTGTCTGACTTGCTTCAGCTGCTTATAGCTTCCAAGCCCAGTCATACATACATACATAGTGAGTCAGAAGGGGTCTCCCAGGCCATCTAGTCTGACCCCCAGCTCCAGTTGGCTCTGCTCATGACATGCCCACTATGTGCACGTCCAGCCTATCCTTGAACACCTGCACTGATGGGGCCTCAACGACCTCTCATGGAAGCCCACTCCACAGCCTCGGGGTCCTAACTGTCAGGAAATGCTTCCTGGCATCTAAATGAAACCTGGGTTCCCTGAGCTTTGCTCCTTTGGAACGCGTCCTGCCTTCCTCTGCAGGTCTCTGCTCACCTCCATGTGGCACCCCCTCATGTACCTGTATGTTGCCAACAGATCCCCTCTGAGTCTCCTCTTCTCCAATCTGAAAAGACCCAGTTCCCTCAGTCTCGCCTCATGTGGTTTCCCCTACAATCCGGACACCAGCCTTGTGGCCCTACTCACACATCTGCAGTATGAGCATAACTGTGCCTCTCAGTTATGTGCTAGTTTGTAGCCCACTTCCTTAGCCCCTCCAAAATCAAGAGGAGCCACTGGAAAGTGAGCTGATCCAGTGCTTTGTCTCCTTGTCTCCCCCTCTGCTGGCACTAAAGAGGCACTTGGTGGCCCAGAAAGCATCAGCTGTGCCATAAATGAAGAGATGCGTGTACCTGCTGAGGCTAGAAGGTCAAGGCTTCCTGCAAGCCCATTATGAATTGCTCTTTGCCTCTAGAGATGTGGGACACCATGCACTGTAGAGCAGGGCAGCCCAGGATAAAAGTCTCGCTTGGCCACAAAGTTCACAGGGCAACTTTGCACCTGCCACCCTCCCTCTCAGCCTAGCCTGGACCACCAAGTTGTTGGGAGCAGAAGGAGGGAGGGTTGGCAGAAAACCATCTCCTTCTATGGGGGCTGAACTGCTCCACCTGAGCATGAATGGTAGCCATTTGCCCACCAGGTGGGGTAGTAATTATGAGCAGACAGTTCAGGGCATTGCCGTGTTTCCTGCTTAGCCATTTTCCGGAATCTCATTTCCCCACTCCCTGCAGAGACAGACTTCAGTACTTCCTTGCTGTAAAACAAGCTCCTTGCTCTCCAGAATAGTCCACGCTCTCCCTTACAGCTGTATGGCTGTGGTTAAGTGAACTGGTTAATGAGACGTGAACATTTCCAAATAGTTAAGGCTTCTTGCGGCTTTTCCATTCTTCTTTGTCACTGTTTTGGCCTGCTGAGCCATTCATGCCCTGAGTCAGCTTTAAGAGCGGCGCTGCTGGTGCACCTACCCGGCATCACGGAGAGAGAAAGCCCAGTGCTCCCCAGCCCACCTTAGCTGGAGTCTCACAAGTGGCTCCAGTGTCTTTAGCTTCTGGGCTACCAGTTTCCAAGCAACTGCTTCTCGGGACTCTGAGTGGGACTCTGATCCAGGACAGGCCCTTTTCTTCTCTGTGGAGCAGAGCCGCAAAATCCTGGGCTCCAGGGAGTCTGAACTACTGCAGATTCTCCATCGAGCCTGCCTGTTGCAGGAGCAGATGTTACACCCCATTCACTTCTGCACACCGCTGCACCTCAAGGGAACACGGACACGAGCGGCTCTCCACATTGAGCTGAGCTGCAGTGCCATGCCAGCTCCAGGCTGCTGGGGGCCCTTGGCCAGCAGGCCCAGCATGGCTCTGCTCCCTCGGGGGGCCCCCCACCTGCCCACCGCCACGGTCACCAGCTGCTCTTGCTCCACATCCTCTTTGCCAGCCTTGCTGCCACCTGCTTCCTTGCCTGACCGAGGGCCAGGCAGCCCGCCGTCAGCGGCATCCCCCGCTTGCTCCCCCACCACTGTGGGGCCCCAGTGGGAAGCAGGTGGACTGGCAGGTGCCACAGTGGTGCACGGGCATGGCTCCGGGGGACTTGTCTGAGGGTCGGGCCAATGAACGCAGGCCATAGAGCTCTCCGAGCCACAGCCAAGCCCATCCCGGAGGGCCTCAGGAAAAGCCATGCGTGACCAGAATGGTTCCTAAAAAAGCTTGGGTCCTGTGGAATCCTTTGCCCTACAACTGAAATGCATGTTCACTGGGGTCGCACGGATGGCGGCGCTTTCCTCCTCCACCAGACAGTCTCCTTTTGTCCTTCCCACTGTTCTGCATCAAGCTATTCCAGGGCAGCAGGTCACAGCAAGAGTGGCAGGCAGCCCGCATTCCTGGCCCAGAGGGGCACAGTGCCTGGTCGCCCCGGAAGGAGCTGCCCTGAGCAATGGGCTGGAAGCAGATCTACTTCTTAGGAACGTGCCTGTGAGCAGGCAGCTAGGCGATGCACAGGTGCTTTTCCGAGATGAGCATGGCTGGCCCGACACCAGAATGTGACCGATGCAGGCGCCCCTCTCATGCCTCCTGGCAAAGAGACGTGAGGAAGGAGGAAGGAGAGCAGCACAGCAGCAGCTTCCTGCCCCGCGACAATGGCTCACCGCCCTTGGTCACTTCCCGCGATCCTGTAAGAGCAGGTCTCACACAAAAACCTCCACGGTTTCCATGGCAGCCGGGTCACATCTGTGCTCTCCAGAGTTTCTGCGGTAGAAACGTAGGTGACAACACCCCCCGCCCCCCCCCCCCCCGGTGGCCGGGCATGGACATCCTTTGCCTTGCCCTGGAGGGGATGCCGTGTGTGTCCTAGGAGCGCCTGCTGGCAATGCCGACCTCAACCACCTCCCCGAGATGCATGGCACCCGCCCTCTGCAGAGCCCCTCCTGAGCAGTCCCAACCTGCAGGTCGCTTGGGGCCAGGTGGCTTTGCTTCTTGAGGA